TATCCATAAGTTCTGCTGGAGTTAGTAACGATAGAAGAGAAGGATTTAGAGTGAGAAAATAATAAGCGGGAAAGAAGAAAAATGATGAGTGAATTATTTATTGTAAGTTAATTATGTATGTAAGTTTTATTTGTTCCAAAGAAGAGTTGAGGTAGAGAAACGATTTTATAAAATAATAGCTTTAAAAGTAGAAAAATGATGAGTGAATTATTTATTGTAAGTTAATTATGTATGTAAGTTTTATTTGTTCCAAAGAAGAGTTGAGGTAGAGAAACGATTTTATAAAATAATAGCTTTAAAAGTAGGGATTATGATAAACTGTGAGATAGGTTTGGGATTGAACCAAGTAGCTGTGGAGGATATTCATTACCTATTGATAGCAATGATGTTGGCCTACAATGATAAAAAAAAAAAAAACAAACGGCGTTTGATTTGACTGGATAGGATTGCAAATTATCGTCGTCGTGTTCGGAAAGAACTTGCACTTTTCAATTCCTCTATGTATGAATTTAATAGTTGTGTAAAGTGCAAAGCACCCATGAGAGGATGAGATATGGTTAGTGGAAAGAAACGTTTTTGATGTTATGAACAAGGTTCCTTGATATTTGATATTTGTTGTTCCATTTTGGTCCATTAATATATATTATAGTAATTAGAAGAAGTAGCAAAAACGTATAGCTATATCGACTTAGCATGCCAACCTATTTCCTATGCCGCCACTCATTCCTCTGACATCATTCGTGATTTCACTGCTTCATGTTTCTGAATTATTCCACGCACAGGGACAGCATTTGTCCTTCACTAGGTCCCACCTACACTCCCCACGCATTAATGGTGCATCTAAGAATATTTTAAAAAATAAAAATAAATGTTTTATTATAAATCTCATACTATTTTAAAAATATAAGTAATTATTTCTAATTTTAAATATTTTTGTCTAATTTTAAATTATTTACATAAAATATGTTTTTAAAAATATAGGTCAAAATAATAGTATTTTGAATATTTTAAATAGATGATAATTAAACTCAGAGGGGTGAAAATTGATTCGGCTTTATTTTAGATTTGAAAGAGAAAAATTAAATTGATTGAGAACTATAGATTTTAATTGTTTTTTAATATAAAATCAATTGAGAATATATGAAGTAGTTCTAACTCGTATTTAAACCATATCAAATGATATGAGATAGGCGATGTGGGACTTTCAACACGCCCCTCTAACCAGATGACTGGATCTTGACCATTGATCTAGAGGGCCAAATAATATATTATTAATAAATAATAAATAAATATAAAAGGAAAAAAAGAATATGAAAGGGTGAAAAGATAAAATTATAGATATATACTTAAATATATTAAATGATCATTAAGTTTGAGAGAAACAAAATTATAAATTATATGAGAGTTACAAAACTGAGTAGAGACTGAGAGGATAAAATTGTAAATATACAAGTAAATATATTAAATATTCATTATGTTTGGGGGGCCACGACCCCTCGACTCGAACAAGATCCGTCACTGCCTCCAACGAAGCTCACGGACTGCACAAAGAGTACTTTTTACCCAACTAAAGCGTAACTTTTGACTCATGACAATAACTGGAAAGATGTTAGGCTTTGGTTCGATACCATGTTAAGTAGGGATGGCAAAACGTCAGCTCGCCTGTTTTGCTCGCTAAAGGCGGGCGAAGGCCGGGCCGATATAATCATGACGAGTCGTAGACCTTGGCCGCGCCCGCCAAGGGCGGGTTAGCGAGCTAGCTGGTCGACCGCCATAATTTAGAAAAAATTAATTTATTTTTTAAAATAATTTTTTTTAATAAATTTAATAATAAGATTATTATTTGTTTGTCAATAATTTAATATATATATATATATTATTTCAATTTAATAATATAAAACAATATATTATTTTAATAAATTATAATTTAGAACAATAATAAAATTTACATAATAATAAATAATAACAAATATATATATATATATATATATATATATATATATATATATATATATATATATATAACGTTAAAACTTATAAAATTTATATTTTTTATATTGAAAAATTCAAATACCTATATCTTTTTTATTTGATAAAACTTCACATTATTCTTGGTTGAGTAATTCTTACACCTTTAATTCAAGTCATAAGAATAAAAATAATCAGATGTTTAAGATGAACAAGGAGAACATGAGAGAATGTTGTGTTTCAGTAAGGAAAATATTTTATGTGAGAGTGAAACTTTTTTAATTCTCTTTTTAAAATTTTTAACTTTATATATTATCTTTATAATTAATTTTTATTACAATAAAAAATTATTTTTTTATTAATTAGGCGTGCGCGGGCTAGCCCAGCCCGTCCCATGGTTGGTCCTACGGGTTTGCGGGCTTGGTGAGGCGGGGCAAAGCGGGCTGGTGGCTGAAAACACCAACCCGCCCTGCCATATTATGGCGTGCCGACGGCCGGCCTCGCGGTCCGGCCCGCTTTGCCATCCCTAATGTTAAGGTTCCACCATAAAACCAATCGACAATATGTGAAGTAGCTTAACATGTATTTAAACTATACCAAATGGGCGATGATTCATAATGTAATCTTCACTTCGATTTCGTCTTCGTTTCCGGTCTAATTTATATTTAAATTTAAAATATTAATATTTTAAGAATATTTCATTTTTTTCTATTTTTTGTATTTTGTTATTTTTACTTTTCTTCTACCCACTTTTTAATTCTTTTGTTTTTTTTAATTTTTTATATTAATTAGCTTATTATATTATTTTTTTCTTTTATCTTCTAGTTTTTCACATTTTCATAGTTAGGCAACAAGCGCTAGCTCGGGAAACTCGAGGGGACTTACTACACGCCGCCCCAATTCCGTCCTCAGCAGGAATCGAGCACGCGACCTCGCTTCGATACCAATAGTTAGGCAACAAGCGCTAGCCACTTAGCTAAAAGCTTAAGTCGTTAGTAAGGGTTCACACTTATTACTTTAACCACCTGGTCCTCTCTATAATCAATTTTTTTTAATCTTTTCAATCAATTTAATAAATATAAAGTTAATTTTTTTCTTTTTTATTTTTTTTCTAAATATTTTACATAAATATTAGGAGTAATCAATATTATTTTATTTATAATTTATATTTATTAGGTTTTATTATATTATATTTTTTGGATCTTATTATTCTTTTTTTGTCATATCAAATTTTATCTTAATAAAATAATTGTATTTTAAAATATTAAAAAAAATTAATAATTTAAATTTTTATTACTTCAAACTAATTAAATAAAAATTAACTTATTAAATATTTCCTTACAAATTATATATTTCATATTTTTAAATGACAACTTAAAAATAAATTAACTTATATATATAATCAAATATTTAAATACAGTATTATTATAATAATAGTATTATTATAAATATTTTATATATGAATAAATAAAAAATAATTAAATATTTTTTATATATATTTTAATATAAATATAATAAATTATAATATATATTTAATTAATAATAATTATAAATTATAAAATTATAGATATTTTTTATATATAAAAAATATATAAAATTAATTTATTATAAATATAATTATTTTTTAAAATAATATAGATTGACACGAGATAAAAATATAACAAAAACGGTACAGGAGGACTCAAAACTTAATAAGAACGGTTTAAAAAAATTGAGGAGAGAAAACTCACCCGTTCTACCCTTGACATGTCTACTTATCAACTATTTCCCAATAATCAAAATAATAAGATTTTATTCAAAATAGAAAAAAATTAAAATATAAAACACATCTTAATAAAAATATCTCTATTTTCTTTCATCGTTTAAAAAGTTAAAATAAATATATTATTAAATATTTCAGAATAACGCTTATTTTTATGTAATATTTATTTAGTTTATTTATTTTTCTCTCATTTATATATTTAATATCTTTCATTTAATTTTTCTTGTGACCAAAATAAAGATACAATTAAATATGTGCCACATTTTCCATCATATCATTTTATTTTATTGATTTAAAAACTTAATATTTATGCTATGTTTTAATTTATATTATTAATAGACATGTATAAGTGAGTGATTTGTTTATTAGTTTCTATAAAAATGAATAAGCATTCGAAAGTAGAAAATAATTTATGTGTAACAATTAAAATATTAATTTTAAAAAAAGTAAAAATTTAATAATTATGTAATTAAGAAAAGTTAATAAATATAATTTAATTGAAGGAACTTAAAAATAAGGTAAATAATATTATATTATTATATTTAGTTTATTTTTCCTTTTAAGTAGATTAATATTCTTAGGTTTTCAAATGAAAAGGTTAAATATGATATTGAAGTAGTAATAAGAACATATATTATATATACTATATTATCAAGAACATACCACGTTGATATAGATGTATTGCACATATCTTAAATGTCATATCATTGTCTCATCGATTTAATGTCAATTCAACTACAACAAATTTTTCTTAAAGAAAATAGAATCAAAATAACATAAAAAAAATAAAATACAATTAAAATGATAAAATATATTTAACCTAAAAAAATTACAAACTTAAAAAAAAACACAAAATTAATAATTCATATTATTTTACTAAAGAAAAATCAATTATCTTTAAAGTCTATTTCTGTCTTGTTTCTAATAAAATTTAGTTCTCGAATAGTTTAAATCTAATTTTAAATATAAAGTATACAAATTAAATAACATGATAAGTTTTTACTGGAAGGAGAGGAGGCAGAGACATAGTTTTTGCACATGTGATTTTATTTATTTATTTATCTATTTATTTATTTTCTTTTCTTTTTTTACCTTAGGTGGTTTTTGGAGCGCGTGAACAGTATCGGTCAGCATCAGACTAAACAGAGTAGTTATAAATTGTACAACGTTTCTTCAGTGTAATTGCAACGTTTTTTCTCTTTCTTTCTTTCGCCGGAGCTAATAGAGTTCTGGGCTCTGCCGCAAGCGAGAAAAAGCAAAAGGGTCGAGAATGGAGGGTGAGCTAAGGCATAAGCTGTTGAACAAAGAGAGAAGAGGAGAGGAAGAGGAAGAGGAGTTATCTTTGGGGAAGAGGGTGTGGAATGAAAGCAAGTTGATGTGGGTAGTGGCAGCACCAGCCATATGCACCAGGTTCAGCACCTTTGGTCTCAATGTTATAACTCAATCATTTGTTGGCCATATTGGCTCAAGGGAACTCGCTGCTTTTGCTCTCGTTTACACCGTTCTCATTAGGTTCGCCAATGGTGTTCTGGTACGTTTTTTCTTCTTCATCAAACCTTGATAATATTTTATTTTATCTTAATATATGGGTATTGGAAAAAGATAAAAAAAACTGCGTGCTTTAGATGTATCATCATCATCCGAGTATATGTTTCTGTGTTTTCTGGTAAGTAGTATGCAGTATTGTTTGATAGTGTTTCATACAGGATTCGAGAGAGGAAGATATACGTTCGGTGTGAGAATATGTTACTCTGATAAATTTTTTTTTTTTGTGAAATTAAAAACTGGATGTTCCGTACTACTGTTTTGTTGGTCAAAGAAACTGAGATAAGTTCCTCTGTTTCATCGTTTAAAAGTTGAATACTTTCGTTATGCTTTTTGGTTATTTATCAGAACAAACTCTTTGGGTGTATTGGATGTGATTGGTTAGGGTAGGGTAAACTGAGAAACATGGATTGTAACGTCTGCAGTTTGTGAACATATCACGGTATTTAAATTATATTAATTTGTGGGTGGGTGTATTTTTTCGTTAATTTAATCTATATATGGTGTGCAGATGTAATTTATTTTATAACACTGTAGTGGAGATGTGTTACTATTGCAATTACTATTGTAATGAGTCGAATTTCTTGTTTGTAAAATGACAACTGTAGTTGGGGATGGCGAGTGCATTATCAACACTTTGTGGACAAGCATTTGGTGCAAAAGAATATAGCATGATGGGAGTGTACCTTCAAAGATCATGGATAGTTTTGTTCTTAACTGCACTTTGTCTTCTTCCGGTGTTCTTCTTCACAACCCCAATTTTAACGCTTTTAGGCCAAGAGGAGAGCATAGCACAAGTGGCAGGAACCATTTCTGTTTGGTCAATTCCTATCATGTTTGCCTTCATTGTATCATTCACTTGTCAGACATTCCTGCAATCTCAGAGCAAGAATGTCATCATTGCATTCTTGGCATTTTTTTCGATAGTCATTCATGTGTTTCTCTCCTGGCTTTTGACAATGAATTTCAAGTTTGGGCTTCCTGGTGCAATGATTTCAACAATTTTGGCATACTGGATTCCCAACGTTGGCCAACTCATATTTGTTACATGTGGTTGGTGCTCTGATACATGGAAAGGATTCTCCTTTTTGGCATTCAAAGACCTCTGGCCTGTTGTCAAGATGTCCCTTTCAGCCGGTGCCATGCTATGGTGAGCTTTCTTCTCAAGTGGGCTCAGTTCTTGGCTCAAGTGGCCCCTTTTCCCATTGATGTTAATGAAACACTTTTCGTAGAGAATCTAATTTGTTACGATTTTATTTTATGTTATTTTACAGTCTTGAGCTCTGGTACAGCACGATATTAATTCTGTTGACTGGGAACATGAAAAATGCGGAGGTGGAAATTGATGCTCTATCCATATGGTAATCCTTCTGCACCAGAACATTTTTCATTCAAATGAAAATGTTGTGTTTCTATTTTATGTTGTTGGTTGTCTTAGCTTGATGTATAATGGGAGAATTTCTAATGGTGAAATTTATTGTTTACAGTCTCAACATCAATGGATGGGAAATGATGATAGCACTCGGTTTCATGGCTGCAGCGAGGTAATGACACTGTTCTCCTTTCTAAAGTAGATATAGCAGTCAGTGATCACTGTTTTTGTGAACAACCTGAGCCTTCCATTTTATATTATTTTTCATCTGTTGTATTTTAACCGTGAGTTGTAACTTAATTTTGCAGTGTTCGAGTAGCAAATGAACTTGGAAAGGGAAGTGCCAAAGATGCAAAGTTTTCAATAGTTGTGTCTGTACTCACATCATTGGCCATCGGATTCTTTCTGTTCTTATTCTTCTTATTTTTCAGAGAAAGACTTGCTTATATATTTACCTCAGACAAAGATGTGGCCTATGCTGTTGGGGATTTGTCACCTTTGTTATCAGTCTCTTTGTTACTAAACAGTGTTCAACCTGTACTCTCAGGTATTATTTACACCAATTGCTCCCTCTTGAATGTATTTAAAGATTTGAATCCTTGTCTAATGAATCTGTCAGTGCCAATGTGTATATATATACTTCTGAAGTGAGATATATGATTTCAACAGGAGTGGCAATAGGAGCAGGGTGGCAAAGCATCGTAGCATATGTGAATTTGGGGTGTTATTACATCATAGGTATTCCTGTAGGTATTGTACTTGGTAACATTTTCCATATGCAAGTCAAGGTACGAACTCTTTCATCTATGTTTGTTGCTTTAAAATTGCTGATCATCTTTATGATGCTTGATGTATTGAACAAACTTTTTCATTTTTGTAGGGAATATGGATTGGAATGTTGTTTGGAACATTTGTTCAAACAGTAGTGCTAACTATAATCACCTACAAAACTGACTGGGATCAGCAGGTATGCATTTAGACTTCTCAAAAGTAACTGCAGAAAAAGAAAATATAGAACATATTCAGTTTCCAAAGTATCAAAATAAGCTTTTTCCAACCTATTCAGTTTATGGTTAAATTTACAGCATAAGCTGCCTTATGATGAGATCTTATTGAATAAATGTTTGATTTTGTTTACCCAAATGCTTTAATTGAACATGGTCGTATCATTCTGTGCAGGTTACCATTGCTCAGAAGAATATTAGCAAATGGGCGAAGGTGGACAGTGCTGATCAAGAAAATGAAACAGAGAGAAAATACGTTAGCTAATTATTTTCAGTGGTGTACTACGATGTTATACAACGAAGATTCTGAAAGCAAATTGTATTGTTAGTAATGTTTTTATTTTTTGATGAAATGGTTATTCATTAATTATAAGTCTTAAATCTAGAACAAATGATATTTTAACAACTTTTAAAGACAAAAACATATAATAGAAAATTCAATATAATAATATAATTATAAATTTTTTTATTATATTATTCGGTTGGATTCTCTATTGGATTGTCTATTGGATGTTTTTGTTTTAGGTGTCGAAATATAGTAACTCTGAATCTAGTGGTCCCTTTCTTAGTTTTGTTGGTTTGCAATAGGTATGGGTTGCTCCTACGCCACACGCTCCTGACTTCATAAAGGGGACTATTAATAAATTCCAAAAAATTAATAAAATATCAAAATAATTTTCAAAGATATATTAATAAATAAGAAAGCAATAACTAAAAAATGTTATTTTACTGGTGTGAAATTTACGATAAAATTATTTCAAACGACACTCCTGATTTATTTTGTTTTTCAGACGACAATTTGATAAATAAATTATTTCACTGGTCTGAAATTTACAATAAAATTTTGAGGCTAAATGTTATTTTTTATTCTTTTCATATTTTTACATTTTGGTATTTTAAGTTTTAATGTAATATTAACATCGGAATTACTTTGGAGATATTCACCCTCCATCGGATAAGTTTCTGTCCAAGACAAGTTTTGGAGCACGCGGAGCCTGTGACCAAGAGCATAAGAGAAAAAGAGGGGAAATTCCCGTGACTGCTAAAATTCTAAAAAAGAATAAAAAAATAAAAATACCAAATCATGATTGATTAAAATTAACTCTCTGCTTTAGACATTTTTAAATTATCGTAATTAGCTTGATTAAAATGTTTTTTATGAGATATTATTAACTTGATCTTTTTATAAATTAAAAAAAAATGTAATTACATATTGTAAAAATATATCTCTTCTTCACTATTTTTTTTATATAATCAAATTAAAAAATTAAAAAATTACCTGGGTTGATGGATAAACAGTTTTAACTTTGCAAAACTTTTTATCGTATTAAGAGCCATGGTAACGGGCGGCGTGTAGGTTTTGTTTTTCAGTCCCATTTTTTTACAGTCCCATTTTTTTAATCATTTTTATATCTGTTTTTAATTTTATCAGGTTAAAAATTAAGTTTTCATGTTAGATTTTAGGTTTTAGATGTTTATGCTCTTCGGTTAGATTTTAGATGTTTATGCTATTGTCCCGTTCTCAGTTTATTATTTTAAAAAAGATAATTATATTTATAATAAATGAATTTTATTATATATTTTATATATATAAATAAATATTTATAATTTTATAATTTATAATTATTATTAATTAAATATATATTTTAATTTATTATATTTATATTAAAAGATGTGTAAAAGAAATATTTAATTATTTTTTTTTATATATATATATATAATATTTATATTATTATTATTATAACACTATATTCAAATATTTGAATATTTATAACATTATTATTATTATTATTTATTATAATATATTCAAACATTTGATTGCATATATAAATTAATTTATTTTTAAGTTGTCATTTAAAAATATGAAATATATAATTTATAAGGAAATGTTTAATAAGTTAATTCTTATTTAATTAGTTTGAAGTAATAAAAGTTTAAATTATCAATTCTTTTTAATTTTTTAAAATACAATTATTTTATTAAGATAAAATTTGATATATGACATAAAAATAATAAGGTGCAAAAAATATGACATAATAAAACCGAATAAATATAAATTAAAAATAAAATCATATTAGTTACTACTAACATATATGTAAAATATTTAAAAAATACAAAGAAAAAAAATTAACTTTGTGTTCATCAAATTGGTTGAAAAGATTGAAATTTTTTTATTGATCAGAGAGATTAAGAAAATATGAAAAATTGAAAGGTAAGAGAAAGAGAATAATGTGATAAACTAATTTATATAAAAAATTAAAATAGACAAAAAAACTAAAAAGTTGGTAGAAGAAAAGTAAAAATGGTAAAATATAAAAAAAACCTTATATATAATAGAAAAATAAAATAAAATACTTCTAAAATATTAATATTTTAAAATTTAAATTTAAATATAAAGTCGGAGCGGGGATGGGGTCGGGGTGGGGATTGCATTACTCATCCCCACCCCGCTCTCGCCCACGGTCAATTCAATTTTTTCCGTCAAACTTAGGACGGGGATGGAGCGAACCCCATGAGTAATAGATTTAATTGTCATTGAGAATCAGGTATGAATGTAAAAAAAATGTCCAACTTGGAATAGAGAGAGTTGAAGGCAGAATGAGGTAGTGGTATCCCTAAATAACATTTGATATCAAATAGATGGATTCTCTTATGATTTATATATTAAATTATTATTTTTTAAATAAAAAATTATTTTATTAATATAATTTAAATTTTGAAAATACATTTTTTTATATTTAAATATTTTTTAATTATTATTGTTTGGTATAAATAAGGTTATATATATATATATTTTTATTTTCAATCAAAAATTGGTTTGTTAGCTTGTTGGTTTAAAACGAGTCAGGTTAAACTAAAAATTATGATTCGTTTTAAAATTAAGTCAGACTCAACCATCAAAATTTTTTTAGTTAATCCGTTGGATCAAGATAAATTAGATTGGACTGTCCATTTTTATAGCTCTAGTACATTTGGTTAAATTTAAAATAAGTATATATGAAATCAGCCAATTTTTAAAAATTCACTTATATAAGAAGTAGATAGGTTTTGTTTCTTCAAAAAGAACTATTTATTTTTTAAAATAATTAAATTAGACAAACACATAAAAAAAGTGTTTATCTTATAAGATTTTTTTTAAAAACACAAACAAACTCATATTAGAAGTAGATAGGGTTTGCTTCTTGAAAAGAACTATTTATTTTTAAAATAATTAAATTAGACAAAGACATAAAAAAACTGTTTATTTTATAAGAAAATTATTTGAAAAAAAAAACTTATCTTAGGTTTAGCAAGGTTAGCTGAAAAGCCATCCGAAAAACTAATTGAAAAATGAAAAATTGGTTGGTAGCCAAAAGTTAGTAGAAGAAAGTTATTAAGTTAACATAGAATGTCAAAATTGTTTGGTAAAATTATTTATTAGAATAATTTGATAAATATAAAATAATAGGAATAAACATATTCATTTTAAACTTTTTATAATAAAAAAATTATTTTCCAACCAATCATTTTAATTATATATTTATTTTCAACTATTATATTTTTATAGGCTCCTATTTCTAAGAAAGTGCGGTTCCGAACTTTTGTTTAATCACATACTAAAGCCATGTTTGGTTACTGCTATACTTGTAGTCCAAAAAGTCACCTTTAATTTAAGAAGTATTCCTTTTTAGTTTTCTCGACTTTTTTCTTAAATTAGAATTACTTCTTTAACATAAAGTAAATGAATGTTCTAAATATTGGATACACCAAACTTGACCAAAATGAAAATGCTATTTTTGTAATTTAACCGTTTGCATTAGTATTTTTAAATAAAATAATTTATTTTTTAATCAAATAAAAAGTAGTGCCATGATGCAAATTGTATATTATATAAAAGGATAAAAAATAGTATAACTTTCCTTTTGCTTGTAGGAATATTGAAGATTATTTCACTTATTGTCTGCTGTAATAGTAGAGTATAAGTTTTTATGTATATTTTATCTTTCTTTTTGTTTTATGTGTATGGCATGTTTATATACTTTTAATGCAATTTATAATTATATTCAGATAACTCTTATTTTATAATTTTTCTCAGCGTACGTAGATAAACTTGATGGAAGATAAAAAAGTCTGACGGTAAAGATTTTAAGGGAGAAGATAAAAATTCACACGTTAAAAATGAAATTATTGAAACAAATTTTGTAATTATCACCTCTTTTTTAATTCTATTTGATAATCATATTTAGATTTTCTAGTATCATGTTGCATGGTAAATTTTTTGACAAATATCCTTTTAATTCATTTTAACATATTAATTATTTTATATTATTTATTAATTTCCAATATATATAAAAGATGAAGGAGGTAAGTAAAGATTGTTGAGTATATTTTAATAATTGATATTTATTATTTAGAGGTCAATTTAACGATAAATTTTCTATATTTAATATATTTATTGAAATAATTCTATATAATACATTTATTGTATTGGTTTCTATATAATATAATAATTGAATTAATTTTTATATGAAATGGTTACTGAACATAGTTTATGTATAATATAATAATTGTATTTATTTGTATACAATTGATTATCAACCAATTTGTATATAATATAGTTATTGAATTAAATATTATATAATTGATCGATAAATTGAATTCTATATAATAATAACTAAATTGATTTTTAAATTTATGTTCTAAATTAATCTTTAATTAAACTAGAGATTAATTTTATTATTTTAGAGATAATAATTTAGGTTCTCTTTTTTCTACTATAAGAAATCATTTTAACAACATAAAATGGTTTTTTTTTTTCTTATTTTATTCTTCTCTTCATATATTTTTGTCCCTCTCACTTTTTTTTTCTCTTGACACCGAATTTAGTAGCAATAATTAACCAGACACACTATGACACTGAATTTAATTTTCTAACTAACATCACCTAATTCAATCCTCCACGTGGTCCGTCTTGCAACTAGTTTTCCACGATCACATGTGAAATGTAGGTTATTTTGGACAAGAGAGTGATATATTTTCTTGCATTTGGAATGATCCTCAAATAGCTTATCTCTTTTCACACCAATGTTTGAATTTAATGTAAATTTATTATATTATCATCGTCTATATCAAGTGACTTAGGAATAAAAGTAAATATTTTATTATAAATTCTACGTCTGAATTGTTTTAAATTAGAAGAAAATTTATTTAGATAAACAATTTTGACCAAATTTTAAATAACTCAATTGTGCGACTTATAATAAAATATTCAATTTTATTCTCAAG